AATTGGTTTTGAACTTTAGCTTACCCTTCTGTTTCCATGTGGTGGAAATGGGATGATCATACTTGATGTGGGAGCAGGTCAGGGCTAGCTTGGAGTTGAGGTGTCCGCTGTGAGATGGGGAGTTTTGATCCTCATGTTAGAGTTATTATTTTGGATAACAATTTAGGGAGGAGATTGAAGGAGACTCACATCAATCCGGGTTTCTTTACAAATCTTCCATCACCATCCTTCCCGCATTTACATGTACTTTTTTTTTTCCCATCTATGGATTTTGTTTTCCAGTATCATCAGATTTCCATTGTCTTGGTTAAGTGTTTCTGCATTTCCATGCATGCAACTCCTCCCAAAATTATTCTATATACAGTTGCAGGTCCAACTGGAACTGGAACACTTCATTGTTCTGTTGGAAGTCCATTTTGTGTCCAAGCAGCATAACCGCCGGCCATGTCTGTGAGTCCAGTGAACCCCTACACAATCAGGAAATTTTAGTCACTAGACTCATTACACAAACTCTTAAGAAAGTAACTTTAATACTAATTCAATTCTACAAAATCGACTAATAAGATATTAATTGTTCCAACTTATATACTAGGTTGTACTTGTACTCATCCAATAACTTCAATGGTTTAATAAAGCTGAATACTCCCTTATTTGATCACTATTGAGACAAGCTAACTTTAGAGCTACCTTGTTCCTTTGTTTATGAAGCATTAAAATTGGAACAGAAAGGCTGAAATAGTCAATCTAGTTTGTATAGTATATAGCTAGCCATGAAAGATGCCTTGACGTGGAAAAACAAAACTTGATTTAGACATCATCCAAACAAACTAAGATGCTTGTTTTAGACTCCAAAATTAAGCCATTGAAGAAAAAATGCTTACTGAAGCTAGCAAGTCACTTGCGGCCATCATGGACCTTTTACCAAGCTGACACCCCTATGAAACCATAAGTCAACATCTGAATTAAGGAGTTTTAAAAATAACATGTAGAACCTAATGACTCAACAAGAGTTTAGAAAGATATGCACTCACAACAATAATTTCATCATCTTTCCTAAAATGTGAAGCCACCTCTCTAAGAAAGTTGCTGTTTTTAGTCATCCCTGTATACATGAATGGAAAATTTATAGCGAGTCGTAAAGTATATTAATAAATTAAAAATTACCCAGGACCACCACAATACTCTGATGGGGTACCGTATTAGATTATTAATTTTTACAACTACTATTGATATTTTAATTTGAACTTTTCAACAAAAATACTTGAATTTCAAGGATGGGCAAAATTGAGTGTCCCGATTTACATAAACTCGAAACTATCAATTCATTGGATACAAAAGATAGCTACTCAACGGAAATCATAAATTGTTAAGTACTTTGGAACTACCAAATGTTCAAAATTTCAGCCAATTGCGACATAAGCAAACAAATTAAGAAGTTGTCTCTGTAACTAAGATGATTAAGATTTAATGTATTATTTAAGAACTGAAATAGAACCTGATCCAACTCTGAACATGTAAGGTATGTTAACTGCGCCAGGAGCGTGTCCAGCATGGTACTCTTCAGGGGTCCTGCATACAAAATGGAAAGAGATGAGGTTTTGGCTGATTCTACAATTAGCATGATTCCAAATATATCTAAACATGTTGTATATTAAACTTTACTAGTGACGAATGATAGTAATTAACAATAATCGCTTACCTTACATCCAAATACTTGTGACCAGCTAGAAGAAGCTCGTATGCTACACGCACAGGCACTGAAGTGGGAACTCTAACAGCCTCTAAATTTCCCTTCATACCAACTTCCCTCCTTCAATAACAAACACATAACACCATCCATCATACCTACTAATCACAATCTACGTTTGAATTGATGAAAAAATAAAAACAAAATATAATAATAAAATTTAGATTCAATTGGTTGCCACGTTAGCTGTCAATATATATTAACACATGATTATATGAAACATAACTGAACAAAAGAAAACAAAACGTTATCGCTTTATGGAAGCTTATGAATCATGATTAACACTTCCTTCACACTTACCGGAAGTTTGGAAACTTGGGTGGGACAGAAACACTAAACCTTCCCTTGTGAGAATTCAGGGAGTTCAGAATTGAAGAGCTGCACGTAAAAACACTTTAAAGTTAAAGAAAAAGAATGAAAAAATAAAAAAAAATATATATATATAGAAATATTAGCATAGAAGAATAGTTTGATTATTTTTTTACCTTGTATGACATAGATTGGATGAGAAGAGGAGAGAACGTGAAGGAGGAGCACGGAAGCAAGCGGCAGAGACATCAAACGTTGTTGCTGTCATTGCTTTCATCGCTGAGATTGTTGGAATAAACTACCAAATGCAAATGAGTGGTTCTTTTTTTATCCAATGCTTCCCAAGTCCCAAGCCAAATATTTGAAAGCTTGCATGATAACCACTGCCACCACACCTCTACATTTATACATACATACATAGAATATTCAAGAGCTTATCTTTTTTTTTTTTTTTGGGTGCAAACATTAAAGAGGTCATGATATTCATTCATAAGTTAAAGCATTATTTTGCCATTATTTTAATAGGGCAATTTACTTTTTCTTATTTGAAAAGATAGGTTGCAATATGTTAAAATACATAAGAATTATATTTATACAATTTTAATATTATGTTATATATATCTTTTGTAAATATTAAAAGTAGACTTGGAATAACACGTAATAGAGACAATGACATCGTAATCATTTCGTGAAGACCAGTAATGGATGTCCACGCCATCTATTGTTCAGGATTCCTCTTTTGTTCTTTCTCAACAAAAATCTAACTCTATTATTACTCACTAATTCATTTACTATTTTCTTAGAATGGCTCATTTTGTTTTACTCCTTCTGTAGGATATTAATCATAATCAATCTCCGGGGAAAGTTTTCATAGCGAAATCTTAGTAAATAGTGTACAAACAATAAGACAAATGAGATCATTAAATACATATAATACGTTGAATCAAATAAATATAATGGGTAAAATTCGTTGGTGCCAATTTACAAATGGTAATTGTTTAGTCAATAAAGGTTGGGAATAGAAAAAAAAATATAAAAAAAATCACGTGGGTAATAGGCAAATAATCACACCTCCACTCTCGTATAAACACATCCCTTTTCAAAAAAATATATATAATTTATTGTAATTACGCATTCCTTTAAGGATAATTGTCTCTAGAAAAATCTCTTGATTGTCTTTGCACTCTTACCTCCTTTATCATTAAGTGATTATTTAAGTGTTTTAGTTGGTGTTTCAAGCTATGTTTCCTATTAACAATGAAGCTTATTCCCAAACACTCAACATTTATTCAAGGTAAGAGTGCAAAGACAATCAAGAGATTTTTCTAGAGACAATTATCCTTAAAGGAATGCGTAATAGTTTACTAATAGAACACTCTTATACAAAAGATAAACAAATCTAAAATAGAGTATCTTCTTCATATATTATTACAATATCTATTTTTTTTATATAATAAAAATGTCTATGTTAAGATATCTAGTATGAATATAATTATTTACAAAATGTATGTGTAACGACCCGTCATGGTCTCTACACTTAGTGAAATTACACTACTATTAGTGAACTAAGAGAAATATTAAGTTGGATAACTCAGGTATAAATAAGAATGAAAATAACTAAGTTTTTGGTTATAAAATAAAACACCATATATATACCGTCATCCCAAAAATGATATTCTCCTAGTACCGGTCAAGCATAGACAAAATTGTTATCCAAAATAATAACTCTAACATGAGGATCAAAACTCCCCATCTCACAGCGGACACCTCAACTCCAAGCTAGCCCTGACCTGCTCCCACATCAAGTATGATCATCCCATTTCCACCACATGGAAACAGAAGGGTAAGCTAAAGTTCAAAACCAATTATACAAGTACAAAATAAAATCTATACTACACATCATCCAACTATCAATCATGTTCATAGAGTCACACCATACACTCTATCCAACACTACTCATGCATAAAATACAATCCACCAGTCACGAAGTCAAACACCACACTTCATCATACTAATAATCATGCAATAAATGCATCTCATGACAGATATCAATGCATATCAATCATCTAATGCATCGTCATGCATACACCTAGGAGATCTCCCTAACAATAGAGGGATGTAGGGGCCAAATTACCAACATCTGATCTCTTGCAAGGTACCTGTTATGTAGCACTAAGGAAGAGGGCTTGGTTACATCATTATCCAATAAAAAGAGGCCTGTTCAATTAAAAGTAAGATTGTTGCTGCCATTGATTTTTTGGATCTACCAGTGCATTTTTGGCACATTTCAAAGCCATGTCTCAAATGTTTCAGATAAAATTAACGTAGAAAAAAGATCACTATAATTGTATCTTCCATATTTATAGGATCTTTCTTCTGTTAATGTCTGTGTATGCTTCATATGCATTAGCTGGTAAAAATAATTCTTCGTAACCGTATCTCTTATCGCAGTCAATATTTGAGACTTCCTGTTTCAAGTTTTAATTGAATTCCTTTCCAAACTAACTTAGGAGTATTCTTTACAAGCTTCCTTAATGATCATGCAGTTGATTTCCACAACATAATGAAATTGTTATAGCAATAAAATATTAGAGGAAGGTTTGAGGAATCTTTTTGTCAACATTGAAATTGACACGTTACATTTTGTTGAGTTCTCTTTTTGTCTGCAAGCTTTTTTCTTTTCTACTTCTTTTGTTTAATGTAATGGCTCCTAGCAAGAGTGGTGGCTGTCATGTAAATTTATCAGGATTTTGAATCTTTTGCCTTTCTATCCATTGATTTTGTTACATGCAATTCTTACATGTTCATAATAGTTTTTTTCCCTTTTCTTATCTAATATTTGATTTTTATTTGTATAATTCTTTTGTTTTTCCAATTATATTATCTAGATCCAAACTTCTTGTATCCATCGATTTTTCCTTTTTAATCACTTGTTAGAAAAGGTTGAGGAGCTCAAAGGTGTGTTGGAAAAGGAAATTTTAAAGGTTAAGGTATATTCTCCTTTTTAATCACTTGTTATGACAAATTTTGAACCTGGGGTTTGTTATGAACTAGTATGCTTAATTAATTTATTGTTGCTTTCTAAAACTGATATTAACAAAACAGAATTGTTGCAATGCAACACATCTTCAGCCAACAAAATTTAAAACATTCCAATTTAAGCCAAGATGAAGTATAGACAATAATTCCAAATCATAGCCAACAAAGAGATTTACAGTTATTTTATAAAAAAGAGCAAATATAAAGAGAGAGAGAGAGGACTGATCATGATGCAAGGGATGGTGCTAGCTGATGCCCTGCCCAATACTAGCCAAAGCACAACTGTTGCCGCTGGATGTAGGGGCCAAATTACCAACATCTGATCTCTTGCAAGGTACCTGTTATGTAGCACTAAGGAAGAGGGCTTGGTTACATCATTATCCAATAAAAAGAGGCCTGTTCAATTAAAAGTAAGATTGTTGCTGCCATTGATTTTTTGGATCTACCAGTGCATTTTTGGCACATTTCAAAGCCATGTCTCAAATGTTTCAGATAAAATTAACGTAGAAAAAAGATCACTATAATTGTATCTTCCATATTTATAGGATCTTTCTTCTGTTAATGTCTGTGTATGCTTCATATGCATTAGCTGGTAAAAATAATTCTTCGTAACCGTATCTCTTATCGCAGTCAATATTTGAGACTTCCTGTTTCAAGTTTTAATTGAATTCCTTTCCAAACTAACTTAGGAGTATTCTTTACAAGCTTCCTTAATGATCATGCAGTTGATTTCCACAACATAATGAAATTGTTATAGCAATAAAATATTAGAGGAAGGTTTGAGGAATCTTTTTGTCAACATTGAAATTGACACGTTACATTTTGTTGAGTTCTCTTTTTGTCTGCAAGCTTTTTTCTTTTCTACTTCTTTTGTTTAATGTAATGGCTCCTAGCAAGAGTGGTGGCTGTCATGTAAATTTATCAGGATTTTGAATCTTTTGCCTTTCTATCCATTGATTTTGTTACATGCAATTCTTACATGTTCATAATAGTTTTTTTCCCTTTTCTTATCTAATATTTGATTTTTATTTGTATAATTCTTTTGTTTTTCCAATTATATTATCTAGATCCAAACTTCTTGTATCCATCGATTTTTCCTTTTTAATCACTTGTTAGAAAAGGTTGAGGAGCTCAAAGGTGTGTTGGAAAAGGAAATTTTAAAGGTTAAGGTATATTCTCCTTTTTAATCACTTGTTAGAGATATAATACAAAAACCTTTCACGTGTCTTCACTTAACACCTTATGTTTTTGGGATAGAGAGTGCTCATGACAATTTCAAAATACTAAATCCTATATTTTTTTGGAAATATCTTAATTTTTTTGCTAGTTGCTTTAAACCTGGATAAAATGGCACCTATTCAAGATTAAGCAGGGTATATGAGATTATTGTAGTTTTTTTTTTCCTTAAAAGAAAGGAACTGGTATTAATTTGGACTACATTTGAATAATGGCAACATCTGGTAAAATTAATATTTCTTTGCACTCATGTTTCATGCAGACAACAATTTTGTTTCTCATTCTTTTAAAGACTTGTTGATATAAACTTCCTTATTTGTTTTCCAGGATCAATGCATGTCAAATCAGGGCATGCATTATGCTGCCAATGAACAATACCAGGCAAGGGTGGAACCCTCCCCTCATTTCATTCAAATACCATCTGATGGAGCTGATGTCTGGGAAATTGATACCAATCAGCTGAAATATGAAAACAAAGTTGGCTCTGGGTCATTTGGTGACTTGTGAGTTGTTGATGTTTGATGTATATTTGAACTGTACATATCTTTTTAACTGATGTCTCCTCTATGCATTTCTTTAAATTCTTTAGGTACAGAGGCACATATTGCAGTCAAGATGTGGGTATCAAAGTTCTTAAGCCTGAGCGCACAAGTACAGATATGCTGAGAGAATTTGCACAGGAAGTTTATATCATGAGGTTTGTTTGCATCGTTGAATGTACCTCTGTAACTTCTATTCCCATTTACAGAGATATTTGTTTCTCGCCTATCTGCCTTGTGCTGGAGCTTCCTCTTTCCAGTTTACAATTGTTCATTTTGTATTGTACTAGACTATAATCTGGCTTGCACGACCTATAACTGTGATGGATGAATGGAAGTGGTGGGCTTGATGTTGTTTGATAAATTATCTGGATATATTGTGCTATTTATAGTGGTTTATTGTCCATTGAGGATATGCCTTTCTTATTATTCGCCTGACTTGAAAATATGAACTGGTCAGCCATTATTATACTTCTGGTTAGATCTTTTCTGTCTTATTTTCTTCATTTTTATCTCAGTTTGGAAACCAATAAACCCTGGCAGCTTGATACAATCTTATTGCTCCTATTCCAAAAGAGACTTTCTAAAGCTCTTTTACATTCATGCACACACATGCTAAGTTGTGTTACCTACACTGCTGCTCGATTATTTAATGTAAACCAGACTCTAGTTGTAATTTAATTTTTTATGGTTCTAAAAGAAACCCACATTTTAGTTATATGATTTCAATTTTTATGGCAGACTGATTCTGTGAAAATTGGCATCATAGACTGTTAAAATGTATGGATCAATTGATTAATAAATTTTGACTTAATTGCAATCACAAGAAGAACTTCTTTAAAGAAAAACTGTCTGAATTATTTTCTAGACCATTCTGGAAAAGAATATATTAACTAAAAATACTGTCTCAATTTCAGATATTCATTACATCGAATGCTTTTGAAAATATCTAATAATATTTCAATCTTAGTGTAACAGTCTATCCTAGTTTGTCAGTATTGGTGATTACTGATTGGTGATATGGTATTGTTGCAGTCCTGAGTAATCATTCTACCTTTACCAACTCTTGTTTATCTTGGATTGCAGGAAGATTCGACACAAGAATGTTGTTCAGTTCATTGGCGCATGTACTAGGCCCCCAAGTCTTTGCATTGTTACTGGTAAATAGGAGAGAATCCTTAGAATTTTTTATGGCATATTTATGTTTCACGGAATTTGTTTGTTTAGAGGGTGAGCCTTGGTTTAATGATAATGTTACTGCATTATAACTTGGTGATCATGGATTTTAAACGACCTCTCTGCTTATGGCTGAGGCTACTAGGAATGGCAACGGGACGGGTCGGGTACGGGTTTTATGATACCCGTCCCCGTCCCCGCGACACAAACTCATTCCCGTACCCGTACCCGTACCCGCCGGGTATTTAATTTTTATCCCCATCCCCGTCCCCATCGGGTATCGGATATACCCGTACCCGTACCCGTAAAAAATTATTTTTTTTTTGCAAAAAAAATTTATAATATTTTTAAATTATTTTTCTATTATATTATAATTATAATTAGATTATTTCTTTATCACATATTTGAATCAAGAGATTTCTTAATAATTATACAACTATAAATATTTTACATTATAATAAATAATTACA